ACGTAGCATATCGGTGATACCATTAATTTTCCTTATTCTATCATACCGGTAGCTTGTGGCGAACTGGCATGAATTCCGGTGTCAATACTATGGTTAGTAACCTGAGTAAATCTGGAATATCACTAATAAGAAGCAAATTCACTTCCACTTGTCGGATCTGTTGCTTCATTAGGCAGGTGGTCAAGTTTAACATCGGCGGTCAGCCTTTTCTACGAATGGTCATGTCAGCTAAGGACGCTTCATTAAAATCCAGCGTTTTGTGCCTCTGAAAGAAATCTATTCCTAAGATAATATGTGCTTGCAGATCTTTACTATGAAAAAATAACCTTTACTGTTCGTCCTTGATACGGACATACAGCGGTAATTACCTATACATTACATTTTTCTTGCGCCGCTAACACTGTCGTATTATCCGAAATATATACGGTATTTCGAAAATACTCCTAAAAAAATTTCTGCCACAAGGAACACTGCGCGCCTGTATCCAGGAGTGCGGTGGCTGGGATATTATTCACCAACACTTCAATCTCGGAAGAGTCAAATTTTTACCATTACTGTATTTAACTTGAAGGAAGAGGGGTTTCTGGCCTTCGGATTTCCGACCCTCCCGTCAGCAGAAATCCGTTTTAGTTTAAATTATTTTTCATTTCCGTGCTTTCCTTCTTTTTCCAATGGCCTTGAGACTTTTTCCTGGATTGCATGAACTGTCGCGTTCGCCGGCTGTTTTTGAATGCTCGGGTTTCCTTGCCCACTGATTCGCTGCTTCCGTGGCTGAGTTTGTGTAGTCTTGGCGCACCAAATTGGTTTCGATGATATTGGCGTCTTTCATGTCCGCCGTTCTTCTACTTTCAAATGGATTGCTGCTCAATAAATTTCCAGTGTAGTCGGATTTCTTAATCAATAAAGTCTTGCACTTGGGCAGTAACCTGGCAAAATCACTGAATTATCTCAGGATCCGGACGGTTTCCATACAAGATTTGAAGAGTGAATTTTTCTTAAAATAAAGCTTGAGAGATTTTCATTCTTCGATATATGCTGAAAAGTTCCGTTCTAATTTCGACGATCCTTACAAAGGGAAGGCTTTTACTAGGCAGTCTTGAAATTCTCGTAAGTATAGGTGGGACTCCTGCTTGACCCACGACTTTGCCTATACATTTGAAACAATAAGCGCTTGGCCCCTCAAAGCGCTGGGGCTAAGGTAACTTTTTGAATTCGTGCCGGGTAAGCATGAAGTGGTATCCAATTTTTCCAAAAAAATGTTCCGGTGTGTTCCATAAAGTTGCTTCTGTTTATCGAAGCGCGCATGGTCTGGACGATGTAACAACCTTCCAGGGCGGAGCTGGCTCTGGATTGAGCCGTTCTGCAGGCGCCAGGTGGAAACTCGGGGTTATTATTTCGTGGCGCCACATCAGGTTCAATGTTCCGTCTTACTTTCTTCGGGAACATGCAAGGACCTGACTCGGAACAGAGAGCTTACTAAAGCTATGTTCAATAACTGTGGGAAGTAGACAGGATACACAAGAAGGGTATACAAAACCCTTTATTTTTCTCTATTTACAATAACTTCCGTACTTCGGAATACAAAGACCCACTACTTGTGGTCTAAACGTAAAATATAAAAATAAACTAAACTCTAACTTAACTTTGAAATAATAAACGTGGAAGATTGGCCTTATATTAACAGGAAGCCGTATGTAGTACAGAGAACTGTGAACACTACCATACATTTAAAAATTATCAAGAGGATTAAAACCTCTAGCCTGGAAGGCAACCAGCAACTGAGTAAAACTTCTAAGGTAAGCGGCCTGCTTCGACTAACTGCTTCCTCTCTCTCTCGCTTGGCAAAAAGCCACAACTTAAATACTTGGCGTTCGCCAGACAAACTTTGCATAAATACGTTAACGCTTATAATTCTGGCCGGAAGTAGAAAATAAGAAGTGATAGTAAAGATTTAAAATAAAATAAACGTTGGTAAAACTTAAGATCCTTACAACCTTAAGTATATTGATAAGTACCAGAAAGAAAAAACGACCTTCATCTGTTATCCCCATCTCTCGTACTTCATTGAAGAAGCAGTTAGCGAGGTTTTCTCCAAAAATTTTTAATAAATTTCCTTTGACCCTTGTAACAATAAATAAATCTTTGATTAGGAAATACAGGTTGGCCAAAATAAGGTCTCAAACGGCAATTTTTTTATGCCGATACCAATAATTCTTGGTAATTACCAATAACAACGTTTATCTTTGAAACGGAGACATCCATTCGCTTTGTCTGAGGAATTCGAAGAGATGAATAATAAAATTTTAAAATGGCGCGACAATGCACAAATATTCAGTAACCAATCAGGGAGCTGATTACATCACGCACAGAATTAAAATTATTTAAATAATCATTCTTAACAAAATCATATTTAAAAAATTGCAAAATTAAATTGTATTTTAATATTTAACAGCCATAAGTAATGTTTAAAACATTAGATTAAATTTATAGATATTAAAACCAATTACTTTTAAAATAATGTGACGTCATTCATTACATCATTCACAACACAAAATTCCATAAAATATCATAAACAATAAAATTTTTATTTCAAATAAAAATGCAAAATTAAATTCATTTTTATTATTTTGAAGTCATAAATAATATTTAAAACACGGAGTTTATGTATAATTAAAAGCATTATTTTTTAAATAAAATGACAACAAAGTATCGGTTACCATAAATAACTTGTCCAGCAATGGGTTTACCGTATCGCTCGCCAAAACAAAATCGCCAAAATCCGTGCAACCGTCTACCAAAGTAGCACCGGCGAAAAGAAGAAATTGAAGTACGTAGGCGAAAAGAAGAAATTGAAGAACGTAGGCGAAAAGAAGGAATTGAAGAACGTAGGCGAAAAGAAGAAATTGAAGAACGAAAACGTCAAGATGAAGAACGTAGGCGAAAAGAAGAATATGAGGAACGAAAACGAAAGTATGAAATGGAATTTGAACTGCAAAAACTACGTATTGAAGCAGAAAGTAGATCTATAAACTCTGCAGAGGCGTAGCTAGGTTTTCAGCGCCCAGGGACAACTGAAGATTTGGCGCCCAATTTCATTCTGCATTTCATCAGAATACTGCGCCCGGGACAGATGTCCCCCCTTGCCCCACCCTAGCTACGCCACTGAAACTCTGGCCCTAATGAAATTGCTAGTGGAACGCACATGAATCCAAAGTTAGAGCTTCATCGTTTGATGCAAAAATTTAAACCTGACGAGAATGATATCAGTTTATATTTAATCATGTTTGAACGTTTGGCTAAACAAGTTGAAATACCAGAAAATACATGGGTTACTCATTTGTTTGGCTTATTGCCGTATGATATTGCTCAGTTAATCGCCAGAGAAACCGATGAGATTGCAAACGATTATAAAGAAGTTAAAAGGATCTTATTAAAACGGTACAAGATGACACCTGAAAAATTTCGCCAAAAATTTTTTACGCACAATAAGAGTGTAGGAAACACATGGAAGAATTTTGCGTATGAGTTAAGAAATTTTTTTAATGAATGGATAAGCGGAATTAAAGTAGATACTTTTGAGAAACTTAGCGACCTTATTGTAGCGGATCAGATAAAACGTAAAGTGTCTCCAGAAGTAAAAGATCATTTTATTGACATATGGTCTGAGTTGATTTCACCAATTGATTTAGTTGAAAAACTAGATGATTATAATACCTTGAAGTCAACTTTCAACAATAAACAACCGCGTAAAGAAGGGTCTTACGACAAACGAAACTACTTTAAAGATGGTCCAGTTGCTACAATCAACGAAAAGAAAAACCCCCTACGGTATCACACATAATGAAAAAGGTGAACCAAAAATTTTGGACACATCTCAAGGGACTGTCCGCTGCCCAAACCAGTAGTAACATGCCGAAGATGTAATAAAACAGGTCGTAAAGCTAAAAATTGTGTTACTAAAGCTGAAAATAATCATTCAAATGATAAAAAATTCATTGAGCAAGTGGCGAAAATTGAAGAGAGCAATTCATATTTGAAGAAAGCAAAACTGAATAATTCTGAAGAAGTACAGGCTTTAATTGATACGGGGAGTTCTTGTTGTCTCTTAAGGACTTCAGTTGCTCAGAAACTTAAAGTGAAACCAGAACCTGCTATGAATGAATTGTACGGTTTTGGAAATCAAAGGGTGCCTGCAGTGACCTCTATAGGAATGATTAAAGCCGATATTGAAGTTGATAATGTAAAAGGCCAAGGCATAAATATATACCTTGTACCTGATAATGCACAGCCAGTTGATCTAATCATCGGACGGACATGGCTTGATCTACCCTCACATCGCTTATGTCAGAATAGGAAAAAGATTTCACTTCGGGTATAGGGAAGATGAACTATTTAGTAACCTCCAAATTGATGAAAAAATAAATCGAGTCTGCCTTAAAGCTCTTGAGGAAAATGAATTGGAGAAAAATACAATCAGTCTTGTCAGTTCTCAAACAGATTCTGTAGATAATGGATTAATTATGATAGAAAATCCGTCCGTAGCTATCGGCTGTTTATTAGAAATTAAAAATGGCGAAACTTGTATACCAGTGATTAACGTTGGCGATAGAAGTGTTAAGCTCCAAATGATCAGTGCGTTGGGAGAGCAGGGGAAGTTGAACTATGTTTAAATACTGAAAATTCTGAATTGAGCTCGAACTTAGCAAAAACGTAAAATATTAACAACATAAAAGTTCCTATAAGTTTAGGCCAAGTTAAAATTGGCTCGGATCTCGACATTGATCACCAGCAAGAGTTAGTGCGTTTTGCGAATGAATACAGAGATTGCTTCTCACTGAATATTTCAGAACTCGGGTGCACTGATCTCATAAAAATGGACCTTAAAGAAGATATATTCGTTCATCAAACTGCAGTAAAGAAAAACAATACAAAAAGTGTTGTTCGAAGTGTAAGAAATGGTGAATTAGGTGCACTTGAAGTTGTTCGAGAGAAAGGGAATGAAGCTGCAAATCTGATTGAACTGAATCGCACTTCGGTAAAAAATAGTCCTTATGCTGCAAATAGAAATCGACACTGTGGCCAACTGTTTTCTAAACACCATTTCATGCCAAGGCAAGGACAGAATGACGAAAGTAATGGTAGTCAGAGCCAAGAGAATGTGGATAATAAGCAGCAATTACAACCTCAAAGGTCCGTACGAAGGCAATTACGTCATCCTTACTTCAGGCAATATTGTAGTTTTCTATCCATAGGACTTCCACGAAACGTTGGACGTGATGGAAGTGAAGATGAACAAAATGAAAGAAAAAACGAAGAAAGAGTTTCAGGAGGTGGAAGAGACAATCACTAGAATCCTAGACGATTTTATCGAAGGTGCTTTAATAGCAAAATCCACTATCATAGGAATGACACTGAATGCAGTCAAAGTAGAAAGGAAGGAGAAGAAACTAGTAAGGATACTGAAGCAAATGACGAAGAACAGCAGCCAAGCGGTCAAGGCTTAGATCTTGTCCACTTTACAGATCAAAAATGGGTTGTCAGAAGCCCCACCAAGCTGATTCACGTGCTAAAAACAGATCTTCGGAGGCCATCATTTCCAGAAAAACAGAAGATGGCGATAATGACGAAGACGATGAAGAACAAGGCCAAGCGAACAGTGCGCAAACCATTGCGCTATAGTGGTGTATTTAATTATGGCAAAGCACACTAGGGCTATCTGCCTAAGGGGAGGGATGCCTTTCGTGGAGGACTTTCTAAGGGAAACTGGCTCGTATACACGTTACACATGGGGAAAAACCACGAAAACGCCCATGCAGCCAGCCCGTTCGCGGGATTCGAACCTCGGACCGAACTACCAGTGTTCAGCGTCTTTACCGCTCGGCCGCTGGTGGGCCCATTGCGCTATAGAAACTTTGTATAGGACTTAGAGAATTTTTTTAAATTATATTTCATTTTATTTTTTCTCTACCTATTATTATATTTTTGTTGTTGTTTATTTGTCGTTTTAATGTATGACAAGATTTGGTTCAATTAGGACATTTGAAAAGTCAGGATGGTCGAATGTAAGCATTGTATATTATTTAATTTTTATTAGACAAAATATTTATTGAGAAAATGGCAACAGCTAATTTCTGGATGTCGTTCTATTTATAATTTTAAAAATATACATTGAGATGATGTACGTTTGAAATGTTTAATGGTACGATGCAGTAAGTACGTTTGTTATGTTATGTACGTTTACGAATACGTTACGTGTAGGTTATTAAGATTTATCTTTAAATAAATTGTTTGTCTTTTACAACCATTTTACGAGTGATTAATTTAACTACAAAAGGACGTTAACCTGATAATTATTACTTGCTGGTGAACTATTAACAACGCTATCTATTGCTAAGTTAGGGTTAACAACCCTCGCTCTCGCTACCGCCTGCCTTACGGAAATCGGCGTAAAGTGCTGGTACCTAGGCTGATTGTGCGCATCCAGTTGTTCCGAAGTGAGGCTCTTTGTGGTCTTAAAATATAAACTCACAGAGATTGAATTACAGCTCAATGATTTACTTAAAACATGCCGTTCTGCTGGAGCAATGAAGATGCATTGCAGAGTATAGGAAGTACTAATGTACACAAATTCAACTGTAGACTTTTACACGGAAAACCTAGAGTATAGCTTAATTTTTCAAAGATGTGTCTCATTTTATGATTTTAATTAAATAAATTAAACTCTGTTTTTCATTTTACCAAATAGTAGCTCTTAGCTCACATAAAGAAAATATTAGTCGTTATTTTCGAAATTAAGTTTCAGTTTCAGTCTTGGCATCACATCTTAATTCTAATTCTAGAAAGGTTATTGTTTTCTTTGCGAACATATAATGTTTATGTTTAAATGTCTATTTAAAGAAATACATTTGCCAGCATATATTTTTTAGTCGATTGAAATTAAGTATGTTCATGCCTTCCTATTAAATTTATTTTATGTAGTCAATAATTTGAGCAAATGATACATGTGGCAGTTCAATGCGTTTTGTCTACGCCCGTTATCTTAAGTGTTGACTATTGTTTCTGCGAAAGTCGTATTTCATTAATGTACATGCAGAGCACTTTCGTCGATATTAGTTGCTAAGTGATGTATGTGCAGTTAGGAATTCGCCTTTCTTATCATAGTTTATAAACAGTGTGTTTTCGAGAACGAATGTTTTGTTTTTAATTGATTTCTAAGGAATTTAAATTCTTGTTGCTTTATAGTATTTACCGTTATAGGTTTTCCTTTCATATTACCAGTTGAGTATATTATTTGTTATTTTATGTTTTAAAAATTTTGTAAGAAATTATATCAGCTTAAGATTTATGTAATTTTCGTTTTCATAATTATTTATATAAATTTTATTATGTATCAAAATTTTCAGATTTTTTATTGTAAGAATTATTTGCTTGGAGCTGTTTTATTTTAAAAATCATTAATTGGAGATAATGAATTATTGCAAATACAGCATATGGTGTAATTTGGCTAAATGTAAAGCTTAAAAAATATTAAAGTGTTGAAAATATTAAATATTAAAGTGTTTAAAGTATTAAAAAAGTAAAACAAATATTGAAGCAATTTTTAGTCTTATTAAAATATTTTTCTTGGAAGAGGGAAGAAAAATAGTAGTTCTTTTTAACATTGTATCACAAACTTGATTAAGATTTTATATACCTTTCAGAATTGAGTTAAAACTCTTATGTAAATTTGATAATGTTTTCAGCTAATAGCTTTTTCTAAAGTTAATATGTTTATGTTACATTTAATTTAAATATTTTTCACTCTTTATTAAAATATCCTTCAGTCTTGTTATATACAATTATTTTTCTTGGGAGGAAAGGGGGAAGTATTTCTTTTTATAAGTGTTTCTTAAATATTTTCGTAGGTTTTTGCATACTTTTCAGAATTGAGTTAAAAGTTTTGTTAAATTTGATAGTGTTTTTAGCTAATAGCTTTTTATAGTATGATTTTGTTATGCAAAATTTAAAGTGCCCTTATTTTCTTTTTCTTTTCTAGGCTGATATAAAACTCATGGAAATGGCTGCAACTGAAGGGGAGCAAATTCAGTTTAGTGGACACACATTAGACAAGGCTATTAAAGCTAAAGTTCATCTAGAAAATTATTATTCTAATTTAATTGCACAACATATAGAACGAAAAACAAGGTTTGTATTTACTTATTTTAATTGTTCTTTTGGTACTTTTCCGTTTTGCCGGCACAAATCTCGCCAAGCAGACTTTATTGGCAACAACACAGAGCATACACATATAAAATGTTAACAAATGTTGGTTCTAAGAATTTTTTGTTTTGAAGGCATAAACATTTTAATATCATTTAAATTTTATAAAAAGCCAATAAATTTGTAAAAAGTCATTAATTTAAGAATTTACTATGCTTTCATGGTACAACATCCTGATTCACGTGACCCCAAGTGATCTCATCTCACGTAAACTACACTAAAAAAATCTAATTCTCTCAGTAATTATCTACATTAATTTCAAGTTAAATCTTAATTTGGAATGCAAGTTTAAATGCAAGAATTATTTCAGTTCGTACGAATAGCTTACTCAGAAATTATGTAAAACCGGAGTGCTTTATTTCGTTAGTGCATTCTCATTAGATTGATCTTAGGGCATAAAATTGGACTATCTGTTAAAAATTCTATGTGATTCTATGCCAGTATTTAAAGAAACAATGAATCTGATAAGAAATGGTTGCGACTTGTTTTGAAAATGGGGCGTAAAAGGCTAGCAGCGAGGATATTCCCTTTGGCATCAGTTGTACCATTATTGGCGACTTTATCGCCTGCGCCGGCAAAACGGAAAAGTACCGTTCTTTTATTACATAATTTTACTTTTATTACTTTTCTGAAACTTAAATTGTGTGTGTCAAATGCATAGTCTGAAAACAAGATGGTAGATGAGACTTTTTTTATCATCAAAATAAAAAAAAAATATTTTAAATAAGTCTTAAATTTTGCTTACTAAATTTTTTTCATAACATATATAAAAAATAATTATAATTTTGCAAAGGAAACAAATACAAACCGTCTTTATTTTCCATCCCAAATCTAGTTTGTTACCTGAGAGACATTTTTGTTGGTTACACTTCGTTATTCAAATATATTGGTAACTAAATATGAAATTCTCTGACTGATATTTATTTAATATAGTTATAACATGTTTAATTAATCATTAAATATTTGATTAATTTAAACTAAAGATAAACAGATTCTTAAGACTTCTAAATTTTCAGAGGAAATTTTTCATGTGGGGTAAAACTTGAGAATAAATAATAACAACCTAGTCTTTTGCTCTCATTTTCATTAGAGCAGCGTCAGTTACAAATGAGAAGAAAACAGTGCCACAGCAACGTGTCAAATATCGTACCTCAAGAATTGAACATGTGAAATATCATAGGTTGAAATTTCTAGTTTTCGTTTGAAATATTGTTACTTGTTATTTTGAGTATTTTTTTATTTATTTATTTTTTTTTTTCCATTTTCTTTTAATATGATGTATTACCCAATTTTGCATTTACCTAGCAAAAATTGCTGCTAGACAAAGCCAAAATAACAAGACGAAGAATTGCACAAACTTGGTATCCATGTACACATCGACCTATTTTCACTTAAAAAAAAATCCCCGAATTGCACAAAAATGGCATTGGGCACTCCTTTGACTTTATCCATGTACACGTCAATCTATTTTCACTTTAAAAAAAAGTCCAAGAATTGCACAAACTTGCATTGCACACTCCCTTCACTTTGTCCATGTACACATTGATATCTTTTCATTTAAAAAGTCAAAGGAGCACCCAATTCTACAATACAGGCAAACAAAAAATACATAATCTCAATAAACTACATTTTAAACCAAACAATAAAATAACATAGAAAAGGAAAAACATGTTATACATTTAAGCACTACAAAAAGCAAATATCCACTTACCCTATTTAGAAGTTGTTTCGTCTTTAGTCTGTGGCACAAAAACTTCCTTAACAGCATCCAAAAACTTCCTAAAATTATCTGAACTCGAATCCATATGTCGGCGTCACCACATCTGAATATCTTTCTCTACAAACCCATTCAAATTCATCTAAACGGTTTTTATGTTCGACTAGACGCATATCGTTCCCACATACAGAAGACTTATAATATCTACTAAGTAAACCTTCATTTACAAACCAGTCAATTAATGCTCTTTTTTCCTTTTATTCCAAATCGTACAAAAACTTCAAATTAATCTTACTACATTCAGTCATTCTACCGTTTAAACAATGAAACCAACACATACCACAAAAGCACTTACAAAACATCCCATGATTCAAAATTTCCCAGAATCATGCACCCGATTACGTCATAATAGGTTTTTCATAACATTCAACTACTCAGGCTACCATAAATGAAACAACAACTCTCCATAATACAAGAGGTATCTTAAAGTCTACTCTAACCGACTTTGTTATCAAAACCATCCAATGAAATTAACTTCTGTCTCAAACAAAGCTCCTGTGTGACAATATTACATATATTCTTGCTAAGAAAAAAAAAAAAAAAGATTGAGAACCAAAACATGGTTTGAAGGCTGTTGTCTTTCTTTCCTCAATTCATTTTCTCAAGGTCCATTTTATCAATCTAAGGTGTCAAGTATTGGAATCAATTGAATTTTTCCAACTTCAGTTAGAAATCAGCCATAGTATGACAATAGATTGGAATAACTACTTTTCACAATAATTAAAAACAACATTGGACATGTTCTTCCAGAACAAGGGGTATTTGGGGGGTTTATGCCGGTAAAAGCAAAGAATATTTTCTGGTCACCATTCCCTATCGTTGTGCTACAACATTGATGACTGCCATTCAGGGAAACAAAGCAAATGGCAGCATTACATTTTCAGAGTGCTGGGAAGGATATAAGAAGGGAAAGCTCTGTTGGGCAAAAATCACGTAAGGCAAAGTGTAGCATTTTGGCAATGAGAAGGTAAACCATACACATAGAAAAAATTGTAAACGATTAGTTATTGATGCGATTAAGTTAGTCAACATCCTTTTCTTTAATCTTAATATTTTATTTTATAATATATATAACTCCAGGATTATTAATTTTTATACTTCTCTTTTTTAATTCTTACCATTAATTTGAACAATTATCCATAATAATGATTATATGTGTTTGAAAACATGTTCTTTATATAAATGCAGGTAATGATCATGCAAATGCAGTATATATCACATAGTTTAAAGATGAAAGTTTTAAAATATATAATATATATAATATATATATATATATATATACATGTATTTCCACAACAGTATTATATTCTTGAAGTTCCAGGTTATTCAGTCATCATCTAGTCCGGTTTATTTTGGACACTCCAGATTCTTTTATGCACACAATTTCAGTTAATAAGGTTAATAGAGTGTTCTTCCCTTTGTTTTGAAGTGTGAAAATAGTTTTCATGAATAGCAAACTGCAAGTAATCCTGAATAGCAAACTGCAAGAAAACAAGATTTGTAACAAGCACTTCTGTGGTTTTCCACGATCTTATGCAATTGTTTAAATTTTGGAAAAAGGCAGATCAAACAGAATAGGAGAAGGTTAATTGAATTCGTCTGTATTTATTCCATGAAATGTTTAATCATATAGGTTAGCTGAATTATTAAATATTTTTTTTGCCCAATTTATAGCCCAGCAGTACTTTTCATATTCTAAATAATCCTAATTATATTTATACATGTACAAAATTAAAGAAAAGGCTTTGGTTAGATTACAAATGATTTCCAAAAATTTAAAAAAATCTGATGTGCATACCACATGACTTCCTTGTACGGAATATTAAATAATACGCATTTTTTCTTGTATTTCATTTAAACACATTGGATTTAATTAAATCTACTTTGCCGACAGCGCATGAACCACAATAGAATAAATGCATTCTTTAAAATTCACTCTATTTGTTTACCACAACGACACTCTGGTGCTAGGTTCACTTAACAGTTATTATATTTCGTTCATATTATAACTCCGAATGCACAAAATTTATATAATTTAAAGAATTATCTAATCATTGCCACATGTTCTATTCAAATACTATAATAAAGCTAGAACGATGTATAAAAGAAATTAAGCAGACAAAACAAAAAAGAAACAGTTTTTCACAGACGATTGAGTTTATCGCATTCAATTAATTCAGTTCTCACTTCGCGACAAGGCAAAAATACATAAAAACTCAAAATATCTCTTAAAAATTACTAATTATTAAAAATTAAAGTACTAATTATTAAAAATTAAGTAAATCTTAAACACTTATTTCCTCGAAAAAATTCCAGAAAGGATTAAGCATGATTTAAATCGCAATAATAAATGAAGGCGTTATCTTTGTTGTTGCGAAGCTACATTTATCTAGATTGGCAACAAATTCACTACTCTGCTGTTTCAAATGTAAACAAGCAATGGCCACCATCAAAAAAATTATAGGCTTAGTGGCACTTAAACAACTTTTAAATTGTTGATAATTCTAAAAATATTGCATACAGATTTACTAAAAGCATAAAAATCTTTACTGTAAAATAAGAACAACATAATTCAATCATTTTTAAAGCAAAAATGTACAATTTAAAAACATATAAGAGTAAAGAAACTGAGAACACTGAGCCGGGTAACAGAGTGGATATATTTATAAATACATTTATATACTTTTGGGGCGGCCGATTGGAACCAAAATACGAGGTGCACATCTACATGTATATGGTAGGCCTATATACAAAATTTCAACGTTCTGAGGCTATTTGTTTTTGAGTTATGCGAGATACGTATGTATGTTCGTACAGACGCCACGAAAAATTCTCTTCAGAATTAATTTTAAAGCAGTTTTATAATTTTTTTAGAGGAAAAGAGTCTTTTATTCTGTCCTTACGTACACATATCACGCAAAAACATTGTTAAATTGCATTCGAAAGCGGTCAAAATGGATATTTTCGTTGAAATATGCTGCCTGAAACTTTTCGTGATTACAATACTTCCTTTTTACTTTGTGCAAGGAAGAGAAATCAGAGGGATAAAAAGAAGCGTTATTGAAAAAGTAGCATGGAGCGCAATGCGACTGAAGGCCGAAACATCCCTGTGATGGGTGTCCAGCAAGAAACATCCGGTCTTTAATAGGGGATATGATCTCCCCCGACTGCTAGGCAGGTTTCACAGCATCTGCCCATGCTGAGAGTGAGGGTGTCAATGAGTTGTTGAGGCATTGCTGCCCATTCGTCTTGCAGTGCCAATCGAAGCTCCGGAATCGTTACTGGTGGTAAGGTACGAGCTGCCAAGCGCCTGCCTAAAAGATCCCATACATGCTCAATGGGATTGAGATCCGGAGATCGTGCCGGCCAATCCATACATTCAATATCCTCACTCTCTAAGAGTTGTTCGGCAGCTACTGTGCGATGACATGGTGCATTGTCATCCATGAAAAGGAACTGCGGACCCATAGCGCCTCTAAAAAGTCGCACATATGGAAGAAGAATCTCGTTACAATAACGGGTCCCGTTGACTGAGCTTGCGTCGAAGATGTGAAGGTCTGTACGACTACCAAGCATGATGCCTCCCCAAACGAGAACACCATACCTGTCCCTTTCAATGATGTTCGAGGGATGATTGCGGCTTCCTCGCTCTCTTCAGATGAGTATGCGATGAGAATCGCTACTCAGACTGAATCTGCTCTCATCTGTAAAGAGTACTCATCCCCATTCATTGTCTCTCCAATTCCGGTGTTCCCGGCACCACAGAGAACGCCTTCTCCGATGGGCAGGCATTAGAGGTACACACCGTACAGGGCGTCGTGCAGACAGACCACCACCGTGAAGTCTTCTGGCCACGGTAAAACGCGATATCGGTCGTCCAGTCGCCTGTGTTGTGTGTCTAGCAATTTCTCCCGCTGTCTGCCGCCTGTTTCTTCTGGCCTGTAAGGGAATATACCGGTCATCTGCGGGTGTGGTTCCTCGTGGACGACCACTACTAAACCCCCGGATAGCTGTTCCTGTAGTTTGAAGTTGTCTCCAAAGTCGTGAAACGATGCTGTGAGCAATTCCGAACTCTGCAGCCACACTTGTCACACTGCGGCCTTCCTCCAACTTCCCAATGATTTGACCTCAGGTAAAAGCATCCAGATGTCGTCTAACAGATTGATTATTCGCCATTTCTCGCTGAGGCAGCAACTCGGTGTGATTTTAACTGCTATACGGCATGCAATCTCTTTGCCAGAAATACTGATCTTACACCGACAACATGCTTTATACTACTCAGACACTCCCCCATTACGTCTACCTGCATATCTGCGCATGTGCTACCGTACATTACCTTACTTAATCTCCTGATTGGTCTTTCTGTCCGCTCTGCCTCTTCGTTCAGCTGATATGCTAATTTTTCGACTTCGTCCTTAATTTTTGCACACCAGTGTAAGTAGATTATTAAAAAAAAATTCATTCTAATTTGGGATCTGTAATGTGAGTGATAATTTAGAAAAAGAGTATATTTTATTCTATAAAAATAAAATAATTTTTTAAATTAGAAGTGTAATTTATTTAAGTCTATAAAAATTTTTAAAATTGATTTATTTAGAAATCTGTTATATGGGCACATGGGATAATGTGAGCCATAAGTATGGAAAAAGAGCATATTTTGTAATTTTTCTTATATAATTCTAATTACAGTTGTAGTTAATTTACTTAGAAAGTAATAAAATAAATAGCAAATTCGAAACATCTACTGACAAAGTCATGTGATCATCGGCACAAAGATTTATCTGCAAAGTCATGGCACCTAACACAAATTTATCTACATATCGAACGAAAATATCCCTTTCCTTTTCCCTATCTTAGTTGACATTTGAGCTAGCAACCTAAACACTCTTCCCACTGTTTGGCGCCTATCACCCATGTTGCCGAATGCAATTTCAGGAACCTTGCCAAGTGCTGGCTATCTTAGTATTCCCAAAAGGGGTACCTAGAGCCATCGAATTTTGAATACGATAGTTTTCCACTTGAAAATGGCCACATGGAAGCTTAAATTTTTAATTTTTAATTTGTTTTCTTCTTCTTCAATGGCCAGACAGCCCAAGATGGCCCTTGCCTTCCTCAGAGTCAAATTCCAAGCTCTTCCATCCTCAGCCATGGACATCCAGTTAGTTAAGATACAATAACATGCCGAACAAATATTAATTTAGAAGTGAAACAACAAAAATCAGCGTTTGACTTCTAAATTAAATCTAATTAGTTATTTTTTAAATTCTTATGCCTGTTTCCAAACAGTCAAGCCACCTAAGTTTAGGTCTCCCTCTTTTGGGTGCTGAATGGTCTGGCCGAGATCTTTTTAGTTGCACGATTTTCATCCATTCAGCACATTTAATTCTCTGAATCCTTATATATTTTACTATATCTAGTTCTTTAAAAGATTTAGAGTTCAGAGTTAGTTCTTCTCCTCCAGATTATTGTTACATTTTATGCCATCAAAAATATTTCTCAAAATTTTTCTTTCAAAGACAGAAGTCATACTTTTAGCTTTTTCTGTCATTGGCCAGGTCTCAGCAGAGTATGTAAGAGTGGGTCTGATTAAGCTTTTGTAAATTAGAATCTTTGTTTTTCTGCTAGTGAAGTTAGACTTCAAGTAAATTTGTTTTATTATCTATGTTATATTTTGTAAAACTGTAACAAATTTTTGATTTAAAAAGCTGCATATATATCTTTATTTTCACGTGAAACCATATTGAAGGATTTCAAAATTTACTGTAAGTAGAATTTGAACAACCGAACAGCTTCAAACCACAAAACATACTAAATACAAATTGCGCAATCCATGAGCTAACTACATTCACGCATCGCAAGCTTCAATCGAGATAAATCATATTACTGCGACTCCCGCCTTTAAGCTACAGTGGTGATAAATCGTAGTACTACGACTCCCGCCTTTAAGCTATAGTCAAGATAAATCATAGTACTACAACTCCCACTTTTAATGTGTTAATATATTGTTATTTTTTAAAATTTCTTGATGTTTGAATATGCTGGTTATTTACTTCCATATTTTTCAGACATGAGAAGCTTGAGGAAACAATGAAAGAGGAAGGATTAAGTGAAGAACAAGTAAGATTGAATGCAAAATTTCATACATGCATTTATTAGGAATTATTTTCTGTTTAATACATGTGTAACTAACAAGTCTGCATCAAAGAGAGTCAATCGCAGATTTCGCCTTGCACATGCTGTTGTTGTCCTATTCATGTGGCAATCTGTCTTCCTTTTAAAAACTAAAAGAAAAACAGCATTTCAGATTCAAGTTTGGCTTACAAATTTTGATCTGTAAAATTGGATCAGTTAGGAAGTGCAACATTATGAAATGCAAACTTTTGCATTGGCTAAATGCCATATTTCTGATGAATTGCAACATTTTCTTTTTTATCAGGCAGGATTCCTTACAAGGAAAACAAAAATTCACTTTCAAAAGGGAGAAGTTGGCACTGAATTGCTGTGTGCATGCACATACCAGGATAGCCACGTAAATGCATTTGAGTGATGTTGTAGATTGCCTATTTTGATGATATGGACTTTTCATATAGACACTATCATTTCGACTTTTCATAAGGCAGATAAAGTACTGACTCAAGTCCTAAAATTTCTATGATTAAATGCTAAACAAAAGAACAAGGAAGAAATTATATTAACTTTGTCCTAAAAACTGCAAGTTTCTATCAAACATTGACTGTTGTTTAGGTAACAAAAACAAAAATTTGAAAAAAAAAAAAAAAAAAAATGATTGATATTGTATTGCAGTGGTACTTTCCAAAATATAAGTCATGATGCAACAGTGGTTTGGTAGATAATTTTTGGCAAGTCATAAAAGATTTTTACTTTGTCTCGTTATGTAACTACTAATCATTTAATTAATTTTAACTAATTGTTTGTAATGATATATTTATTATTATTTCATCATTGCATTATTTTCTTCGAGTGTATCTTCATTTTTCCCCACCAAGTTACTGGTAAGTCGCAGCAACTTGTGGGATGTGAATTTGGAAAAAAAAGAAAGTGATTATTCTCAAAGGAAATTGAGAATGTCCGTAAAGATCACCCCCTTTTTTTTCAGCTTCAGATGTCTTGCATTTATTTCCTAATGTCTCGTGGAGTTTTCTTAGCTGTTAATAAAGTATTTTCTTCCTCCTTTCCACATGCCATGGTGTAATGGTAGCACTCTGGGCGTGTAATCGAGAGGCCCAGGTTTGAGTCCTGCCGAGGACATTGCTCATTTTTCACATCTCCAGCATAATAATAATATATATTACAGCCTGCTCCGCCTCTCATTGGGCACTACAGGTCGATACTAATCATTCTGGTTGTTGCGTTTTCATTTAGCTGCTCTATCTTTTCAGCATACTTTATTAAACCTTAATTACATCTAACTGGTTACAATACTGAACTGGTTACAACATCTAGATAATAAGTTTATAGACATAAAGCTGTTAATATTAAGAATAAAGAATGGATAACTATTTACATATGTACAGTTTTGGCAAGCTGCCAATTACAATCACCTGGTATGGTATATCACCTGGTTTGTGACCTGGTATCAACTATTACATAAATTGTCTTGGTGTTCATTGATGTATTTAAGGATGACTCCATCGCCTCTCTGTCCGTAATAATCTTTGAAGATCTTTTCCAAAGTTGCGATCTGACCCAAGGTCGTGTAGTGGCATTGTCGGAGGTCATTAGTAGCTGGGCATGACAAGAGAAAGTGACATGCGTTGGCTTTGGCTCCACAGGTGCAACTCAGACTTCGGTTGAAGAATCTTTCAAAGTAGCTGGGGAAGCGTCCATGGTTTGTCAAGCCTTGGAGTAGATAGAAGTCGGATTTCAGTCTTTTCAGAGAGACGTCTTTGTAGATCTGGTAGTTGAATTGGCCTGTGTCGGCTGAGTTCCATCTATTCTACCAGTGATCTAATAGGATTGTCTGGATCTTGGTTTTGGTTGACTCTTTGGAAAGGGAGACCTGTCATTGTACATCAATTGGCAGCGCAATCTGCGACTTCATTACCGGTTGTGCCTTGATGGCCTCTTATCCATCGTAGAAAGATCTTGTTTGAGTCTCCTAGTGTTGCTAAGACTTCTTTGATGGTCGATATATGGAGTGGAATCGGGCCTGTCTTGTTTAGGCTTTGAAGTACAGTCATACTATCCGTGTAAAAGTAGATATCTTCGTTTTGAATTGCCCTGCCCATAGGGTGGCATCCTTGAGAGCTCTTGATTCAGCTTGATATACTGTTGCATGGTCACTTAGTCTCTTGGCCACTAGGTGTAGCGGTTCGTTATTGTAGTAGGCGACAAAGGTCGTACCGACTCTATTCTCCATTTTTGAGCAGTCTGTGTAAATTTCAAGTGAGTGACCAGTGGGCGATGTTTTGGACCATTGAGTTGTTTTAATCTTTTCCGGGTGCCTAGAGTGGGTATGAGTCCTTGGCTCGATGGTAAGATTACCCAACTCTGTATTGAGAATATTACTTAGCTCTTTGTGATGCACTAGTTTATATGTACACTGCTCAAAAAAAAAAAAAAAAAAAATGGGACAGTCCTATATCTCCCGATCTACTGGGACGATTGACAAAATTCAAATTGCGTTCTTCATGTCTCGAAAGCGCGACTTGGGATGTATATTAGATTTATATATAGCACTATTCTAACATAGGTATTTTGACACAAAATCGGACTTTTTCTGAAATGACATACCAATTTTTTTACATATTTCGATTCTACGACTCAAATTACGCTTAAATATGAAATTTTGTAAAATTTGGAGCGAAATTTAAGGAGAAATTCACAAATTTATGTTGGCACTTTTTTGTCAGTTTGCGCCAAGATCACTTGGCGAACTTCTTAATATATGGCAACCTAGTTTCCTTTCCTGTGAGAGGAAAAAAAGTCACCATCGTTCCTTTTTTCCAAATAATATTCTTTATATTATATTTTTAATTATAACTTATTATTTTAAGTAATTTTTTTCTTTTTCGAATTTCATTTTAATTGTTTAAGTTGCATTTTTTTTTTTTTTTTTTTTTTTGAATATAACTGTTTTAAAAATTTCTATTTACCTATTCGAACTGCGTAAATAAAGGTGCAGCGTTTATTTTTTTTCAAATAGTTTTCTTTATATATATTTTTGTCATAGTTATTATTTTAGGTAATTTTTAAATTCTTATACTTTTATTTTAATTGTTTGTGTTGCATTGTCTCTTAAGATAATTATTTTAAAATTTTCTATTTATTCCTTCGAACTGAGCATTTTAAATATATTTATTAATATAAATTTTCCAGAATTTGATTTTATTTATTTGAATCGAGTTTCTTTCGGAGGAATACTTTGTAACCCAGGTTACGATGCGTTTGAAAACTGCATATGTTAAAAGAGAAAATACAGCAAAGCACAGTTAACACACCTTTTTTAAGATTTTTGCTAAACGACAAAGAAATAAAACAGTCCAGCAGGGTTTATTCTGTACCACCGAGTGACCCAATTCTTATAGTGGCTGAAACAATCTAAATCACATAAAAGATCATGTTTTTTTATACAATCTATAACGCGAGAGAAAAATTAGCTTCTTAAAACATTTTTTCTAAGAGGATTAATATAAAAGGTTATATATATATATATTTTTTTTTAAAGCTGGGGACTTGAACCAAACTGTCAAACTTTTAAAGTTTAATTTACATGGTGGTTATAATTAAAATTCCAATTTGAAATGGTCATAAAAGGAAAACTACCTTGCCAAATGTTATCAAACTTGGGAATCGTGTGAAGAAGGTTATGGGAATTTATTTTCCGTTTGGGAAAAAAAAAAAAAAAAAAAAAAAAAAAAGAGTTCAAAAACTCACCACCAGGGTAAAAATGGCGCTGTATACAATATTGTTAAATGAAATAAGACACGGAAACGTCAGTTTAAAATGTGTTTAATATTTTCCGAAACATGTTACAAAGCATGTCCAATGTAGCATCCAGCATTTTCCGAAACAAGTTAAATACTGTTACAGCATTCTCAACAGCAGCTCTTAGCATATCAGGAGGAATGTTATCAGTGTATCACATTTTTCATTTCTGCCAAATTGTTTAGATTATCACCATAAACAGTGCTTTTGAGATAACCCCATAGACAAAAGTCACGGAGGTTGAGGTCTGGTGGGAAGAGGGGAAGTGTTGGCCTATAGACGTTCATTCGTGAAATGTTGCCAAAGTAAACTGTGTGACACTCATTAGGTGGGGCCCAGCCCTGCATAAAAATCGTAGTATCTAAAATGCCACGTTACTGCAGTTCATGTATCACGAAACATTTTAACATTGTCTCTTAAGTGAGCTGCAATCACAGTGGTCCAGCTGTCAACTGCTCTTCAGAGAAAAATGGTTCAGTTATGAAACTAGCTATCATTCCACAACATCTGGTATGGAATGACTGCTATGCAATCGAATGCAGTAGGAGAATGCAATGGAACTAAATAGATAACATGAGGGATTTATTTGTCCCAAATAGATTAAAAGCGTTTTGAATCAGTATCTTCAATTTTTAGTGCCGAATTCAGGCTTCAAAAATTACAAATTAGCGATCTGTAAGAAAACGATTTCCAAATTGTACGCACTCGTGCGAGTGATTTGCGATCTCACATTTTCTAATCGCTAATTCGTGGTTTTCACGGACGAATTTCTCACTTACACAGGATGGCGCACTTCGACTTTTATCGAATTTAAACGCCTTTAAGTGGTAATTTGCCTTACTTCAAAGTTTTCTTAATATACAGGGTATACAACATATTAAACCCGTGTAACAAAATGGTTAAGTTAGATTCCGAGCCATATTTCGTTTAACAATATTGCATACAGCGCCATTTTCCCACAGGTGGTGAGGTTTCGAACTTCCTTTTTTTCGCGGAAAATAAATTTCCATGATCTCCTTTACACGATTACCAAGTTTGATAACATTTGATCCAGTAGTTTTCCTTTTATGACCGTTTCAATGTGGAACTTTAATTATAACCACTCTGTATATTATTAAATTTTAATTTGAAGCTATGCATTATATGAATACCATGCGTAAATTTTTCGC